CTGATGTCTTGGCAAAACAAGGGATAAATAGGGAAACATTGTTCTGGGCACAATTGTAACTATTGTTTTAATTTCAACATTCATGTTTTCTCTGTTGTAGTTTGTGTATTTGCTGTTTGGAGAGGCTGCCCCTTGCGCCTCTAAGGGGATCTTCTTGTATCTATTCATTATTTTAATGGAATTGATGTTATTTATCAAAAAAAAAAGAAAAGATCTTGCCAAAGTTTCAATAATGTTATGAGAGTACGTTATGAGATCTCACCACTGGATGACAGCAGATTCAGGTGCAAAGTTGGTAAACTCCTATACAAGGAGCTATTGAGCTAAACTTTGACTATCTAATAAATCCCTGGAAATTCAGGGATAGGTGGGACATTTGGAGGAGGTAATGGAGCAACCATTTGCGTTTTCAGACTCGTCTAGTTTTGGCTCTTTGGTTAGAGCTAAGATTTTAGCTTTCTTCTTCAGGAGCTGAACTGATGCATCCAATGCACTTCATAGGTGCATCATCTTAACAAAAAAGGCAAGAGCTCTTGTTGCATCCATTGAGATTTTGGGCTCCATGGGAGGAAACAGATCACTTGGAGACTATTTTGAGGATTCCAAGCAGCATAAGAACCCAGTTGAAAAGAATTGTGTATTTGAATTCTGGCTGAACTTAACTCCAAGTATGAGTTTATTGAACACATTCTTAGCAGAGATGCTTTGAATCTTACGCAGGCTTATTCTGTAGACCATATCTTTGGTAATCCATGATGTTTGCATCCTTAATTCCTTATTCATTTCTTTCACAGCCATTGAGATTTTGGGCTCCATGGGAGGAAATAGATCACTTGGAGATGGTAGTGAAATATTTTGAGGATTCCAAGCAGCATAAGAACCTGGTTGAATAGAATTGTGTATTTGAGTTCTGGCTGAACTTAACTCCAAGTATGAGGTTATTATAGAACACATTCTTAGCAGAGATGTTTTGAATCTTACACAGGCTTATTCTGTAGATCATATCTTTGGTAATCCATGATGTTTGCATCCTTAAAATTCCTTCTTCATTTCTTTCACAGCCATTGAGATTTTGGGCTCCATGGGAGGAAATAGACCACTTGGAGATGGTAGTGAATTATTTTGAGGATTCCAAGCATCATAAGAACCTGATTCGAAAGAATTGTGTATTGAGTTCTTGCTGAACTTATCTCCGAGTATGAGTTTATTAAATAGCACATTCTTAGCAGAGATGTTTTCAATCTTACACAAGCTTACTCCCTGGACCATATCTTTGGTAATCCATGATGTTTGCATCCTTAATTCCTTATTCATTTCTTTCCTTCTTTATCTTAGCGAAATCTCTTGTTTTCTGCCCAAAAATATACAGAAATTATCTGTATCTGAACAGAAACAAAATTTCCAATAGCTAAGAACTCGGTTTTTCCCATGATTCCTTGTTTCTCCCATAAGAAAAATTTAGGGTTTCACTATATATTAATTGGGCTTTTATTAGTTGATTTGGAATAACAAATGAATCTTCTAAATGTATAAACTAGCACCATAAACGACTATATCAGAACATTCTCAATTCACCGGCCTTATTCAAAGAAAGAGAACTACCAACCTTTTGCACTCGCCCAGTTATTGCAACCAAGCGGCTTTTAATTTGACGGACACGTTCCAAGTTGAGAGTGCTAATCTTCGAAGTCAGCTTATCTAAGGCGGGGTGCGCTTCTTGCTCCAATGTCCTTGCCTTGTCCCATGATTATTATAAGACGCGGTTAGAAAATTGAAAAATAAAATATAAGGAAGTAAAAAATCAAAAGGAAATAGCAATTCTTTTTCCTTACTTCACTATCTAAACAACTGCAAGCAGCTTCCAGGCATGCTTCCAATGCAATGAACTCAAAAGGAAGGACCCTCGGCCCGTCTCTGTTCCCGAGACCCTGTCTGGCGTCCACCTTACCTTCCTCACCAGCCTCATGAAACTGTAGAAATCCTCCTGAATAATTCGGAGGGCTTATTGTCCTTGACCGCAGCTCCTCTGTATCATACAAACCCGCCCAATCTCCATTATGGCCGCTGACCCTACCTTCCTTTATTTTTTGTATAACAAAAAGAAATATCGAATTGCCACCACGTCAATGAACTGACCAAGCAAAATCAACTAAATAGCAATAAAATATAAACAATTTGACTTATGCCTTGCATTGCCATGATTCTCAACAGTTAAAGACATAGAAAACAAGAAAAAGAGGACCAGGAAATTGGAAGGAATGGATCACTTGTCATGAATATTAAATTCAAGCATCTTAAGGGTCATAAATGAATGAAAGAAATAAAATGAAAAACCTGGCTTTTGGTGGCGTGGTGGAGACGCAAGAGACGTCGCTGTAGCTCCTCGACGAAGGGCGTGACGGAGGGATCTCTCGAATTGAGGAGGAGAACCTCTTGGGCAGTGATAATGGCCTTGATGTGTTCCAAATTGATTACGATCGCTTTCTCTCGGCCGAGGACCGTCGACGGATAAGAGAGGAGAGGATCGAGAATACGGAGATCACGGGCGGGGAGGCCCGTCCGACGCATGATGGTGTGCTTTCCTGCTTCTACCAGCTGAGCTTGGCCGGTGACATCAAGGAGGAGCCAGGTTTTGACACCTGCTCCTTTCTTCCTGAGTCCACCAACGCTACCGCCGGTGGCTCGAACTACGTCCGCTTCATCTTCCACCGGCGTCACGCCCAATTTAGACGGTGATCGAAGGTCCCTCATTTTCTCTTCTTCACTGTTGTATGCTGTTAGTTTCTTTGCTTGATAATCATCTCTTTTTGAGAGAGAAAAAAATGTATTAAACAACAAAAGAATGTTGTTCCGAGCACAGAGCACTTGCGCGAGTGCACTCCACGCCCACGGTAGTTATAGGTGTATCAGGACTGGACTAATAATGTACAAAGTACAATGACACATGTTTCATTCAATGTCGTATTGCATTATGAGCACTTAAATCATTTATTAGCCGCTGGATGAAATTTCGGAAAAAATAAAAAATAAATAAACTATTAGGTAAGAATTTTTTAGGGAAAAGTACTCTGTGGCTCACTGCAGACCGACGAAATCCTCCTTTCTCCAATCGAATTAGACGGGAAAAAAGTCGACCCAACCCCCCAAAAGCGGGTTAGGGTCCCCTGCATAATAACCTAAGAAAGTGGCTAAGTTAGAAGGCGGTCTGACCCGACCCAATTTGAATATAATCCAGGTTGTGTCGGGTCATGGGTCACGAGTGGGTCACCTAATTAAACCTAGTTGTTTGTCATTACTCGGGAATTCAGTACAACCCACAAATTTTTGTGCATGGACATGAATAGCAGATAATGGGTCCGTGTTAACCCCATTGTAAATGCCAATCCTGTCCGGTCCATGCAACCATAATCAAGGTTGAAAGTAAAGATAGGATACGGGCATATTATATCATATATATTTTGGGTTTTTAACTTTTAATACGCATATTTATAGATGTTTTTACAAAAATATTTTTATATTAAATAATATAAATAAGGATAAATTATAAATAGGTACCTTTTATTTAGGCTGAGTTTGGAGAGTTTGGAAGGAGTACAAATGCAAATATGTTATATGTAGTGTGCAAAATCTTATATTTTATATGTATTTACGCTGTATATATTTGCATTTGTAATGCTTCCAAACTGAGCCTTAGGGGTAGTAACAGATAGATATGTTAAACTTTCAATTGCAACATTTGAACAAAAATAGACATTTGGGTCCGTCAGTTAGTATTCCATTAGTTAAATATTATATAATATCAAAAATACCCTTCTCGTGTATTTTTGAAATCATTATGTGGAGTAAAATCATCACCAAAGAATGTCATTGTTGGAAATTTTGAATATAATATTTGCTATCCATGTGAGAACGTCATCGTGGGAAAATGTTTGATTACCTGAAAATGGTCTTAGAAATACATGAGAAAAAGGTATTTTTTACATCATGTAATGTTTAACTGAAATACTAATGGATGAACTTAAGTATCTGTATTTGAGAATTCAAGGTACTCAAGTATTACAGTTAAAAGTTCAACTACCTATCTGTTGCTACCTCTAAAGTACATGGTACCTAACTGTAATTTACCTTATATATAATTATACTTAAAATTAAAATTTGAAATACTGATATATGTTTGTTGATACACAAGGCTGTATCAATACTTTAAATTATGCCCACAATATTTTTCTCAACCTGAGCATCACCTGTTCCACTTCCATATCAAAATGTATGCCCCCCAAAAAAATCATTTATTTCTCTTAGAAAAACACGAACGTGTTGAAAAAAATGTCCACAAGAGTTTTGGGAAAGATGAATGGATTATATAAATTCGATAATATAGTGGTATGGAATATAGGACCATGGTTTTCAAAACCGGATGGTCAGACCGGAAAATCGGGAACCGGTCAGGTCTATTTTCCTCAAAAACCGGATTTCTCCCAAAACTGTTGATTTTGGTCAGCAAACTGTTGAATTGAATGGTTAACCGTTCAAACGGTTTTGACCATTTTTATTTTTTATTTTTGAACTTTTAATATTTTTTATTTTCTTGTCAAAACAGGCCGAGCATCCAATTCGGACAATCGGACCGTTCAACCTGGTAACCGGACCCCTGACCAGTTCAGTCACTGGGTCAGTTTTAAAAACCATGTATAGGAGGACAACAAAGTCCCAAAACATGTCCAAATAACGTGGATTTGTTTCCATATCTACCATAGCTTGTAATTCCCTTGTTTCCAACATGATATCCTATGGGGCGTTCGCTGTATGTGGTTTTATTTTTCAAAATAAGAAGACAAGCAAAATCAACAAGTCCATGGTTTTGTACCGGGTACTTTAGTAATTACAGACAATTAATAGAAAAGGTTAATTATGCAAAAAGAAAAAAGATCTCATGAGAAAAAATATATAAAAATATCAATTGATGCATGCCTTTCAATTATTTTGTTTGTTGCTACTAAATTTGGAGTGTTGTTTTGTAACTTTCAAGATGATGATATTGAAAGTAATACATGCAAGGAATCTAAAGATGTCAGAGTTTCCAAGATGTGGTTTCATGGGTGAGGACTCCAATAATCAAATTAGTTGAGGGCTTTAGGAATGTGGTCACAGCCGGAGTCTTCGCCTTTGGGACCATATCCCGGGACTCTAACGTCTTTTGACTCCTTGCAGGTGACACCTGTGGCCTCATCACCTCGAAGTTATGAAGTTATCCTCACCTCCAAATTTGACAGCAATATGGTCAAATATGTATATAGGCAACTATGATCCAGGTACGTGATGTATTGAATGGAGAACCTCAGAAGGATCGGGTAAATGTGGAGTGGATTTTTTTTAGTGCATGGAGTACAACGGGTACACATCACCCAAACCCACAATTATCCTTAACTCTAGCGATCCCAAGTGTCCACTACAACCAGTAGGAGACATTACCAACCAGCCAATTAGCACCTTGCAAATATGTGGAAGAGTTGATATTTGATAGTGTTGGGGATTTGATTTCCACCAACAACAACATAGCATGAATGGTATTCTAACATTAAGGTCTATTTGGTTCATAAGAATAGGGGTCTAGAATCAGAACGGGAATGATGGTCATTTGGTTGTGTAGATTAATTTTCATTCTTAATGGAATAGCATTCCCCATTTGAAGAAGTGGGCCAAGTGGCCATTGAGAATAAGAATGTAGTTTCAGGCAGTTGGGAAAAAAGAAAAAAAAAAACAAGTAGCTTAAAAACTCTTCAATCCTATCTCTCTTTGCACAAACACCAACTCTCATTGGAAGTCATGAATATCATATGAAATATCAAATTTGTTTTCCCTTTGAATCAAACAGTGGGGGCAAATAAGCAATTATAATGCTAATTAGGGAATTTCGGCTACCCACTAGTTATTCTTACATCCCTATCCAAATATTGTGGATATTACAGCTATGCAGCCTTGGGAATATCTCCCTTACGAAGATGTTTTTAATACACGGTCATAGTGTTCCGTAAATAGAGATGTGGGAACAATTTATTGGTAACATATATGGATTATGACTGCAAACCAATCGATCCTTTGAGTTGAGTGGGATCTGGTGCAGTTGTTTGTAAACTTTTCTCTAATTGGAATCCGAATATCTTACCAATAAAATACGTTCCAACCATCTAATATCACAGATCTCCATGAAACTGGGACCCGTCATGAACGAGATATGTGATATCAGATCATGTTGGTAGGAGATTTGGACACCTCTAATTGGATTTCTGTTATGACAGATCTCCGTTTACATGTGTAAACAGTACATAATAAATATTTGGGAGAATGACAGTTCAGCCCGGGTCAAAATTTGTAAGTCTAAAGTACTGTCGGGGTAGGTGTCAGCTCGAAATTGATACCAATTCATCGGCGGCATTAATGCATAGAGTATGGATTATTGACATTTTGAATGTTTATAGTTATATAGTTGAAATCAGAAATCTGCATTAGACCTATCCTACTTTTCCATAAATACTTGCGCATGACAAACTACCCATGTGATGGAACACCCAAGGCAGAATGAATTCACAAATGTTCATGTAGGGCAAATAAATATAGCAGGATAGAACAAGTGTCACATAATACAAACAATGAAAGAAAATGGTGAATTACACTGCACTCCATACTCTACTAGTACCTCCCCTATAAACTGCATCATATTCATAAATTTAATAACTATCCACGGTTGAGATTCATCCCACCTATACGATAGAGGCTAAGAATTCTGGGATGAGATCATTCTCCCAAAAAAAAGAGATTCATTACTTACAGCTAATATTTTTTCTTGTCTCCAATATGGCAATATATGCACTAGCATGATGCCGATAAAAGCTTGTTTTATTGGTTGATCAATGAATCAAATGTTTTTTTTCAATTATATTAATTTATCAAAAAGTTTACATTCATTCCATTTCAGTAATTTGAAAGCTGTTATCCATACCTCCCTTACATACTTTAATCTATCTTATTGGCCAGCATATTTACACTTGGAAAATATTACATATTTCAAAATCATTTAATAGGTTTCTGCACCTCACGAAACTTCTTATTCAGGCTACCATTGTAACCAAGTGTGCATTGTTAAAAAATAACTAAAGCCGATATTCATTTTAATTCTATAATAAATGTGATGGTGTGCGATTTGGTGCTTCCTACTACTAGATAGTTTAGACGTCGAATTGAGTAGGTTATTTGGTTGAGCTTCAAGAAAGTGATGATCAGAGTGTCTGGATTGCTTTATTCGGGATAGACATTCTGATACTTAAGTTAGCAAAGAGTTTTAAGCGAACTAAAAGCAAGAGAACTAGTGAACTATGAGAGCTAAATCGTGCATACCCTTCTAGGAAAATGGGGGCACTTTTATATAAGCATCAATTGGCATGAGCTTCATGCACTGTGTCCGAGATCCCCAGGAGAACATGACTTGCTAGTCCGAAGCCCTCGGAGGTAGTTTCACATGTGAACTACGCTTTCATGCCTTATCCGATTGCCTCCAAAACAATCGGTGGGGGAGCTGACTTCCGAAGGACTCAGGAGTGATAAGATGCACATAGAGGAGGTCAGGAAGCAAACCTCGTAAGTTGCCACCTAGACTTCAATCAAGTCGATAAGTCCTTCGAGGGAGGTCACTCCTCACGCTAAGGTCCCTTGGACCATTACTGATAAGGTACCATAGGTCGACCCTAGATGGGGTGCTACTAGCCGCTCTCCCGAGGTGCCCAAGTTGTATAGGAAGTGCTCAAACTGATTCCAAGATGCACCTCTTTAACTTAGTGAGATCCATGATTATTCGTGTGATGCTAAGGTATCATGCGATGA